CGGAGGTAAGGTGCATGTCCTACGAAGAGAGGATAATGGTAATCGACTTGACGATACTGTAGGACAAGAGAAATAGGGAACACATGATAACGACATAAAATACTGAGAGGAATTGATAAAGTGGACAGAGACAGGATGTTCCAGAGGTGAGACACAGCAACAAGGGGTCACAACTGGAAGTTGAAGACTCAGACGACCACGGGATGTTAGGAAGTATTTTTTCAGTCAAAGAGTTGTCAGGAAGTTGAATTGTGTGGAAAGTGATGTAGTGGAGGCAGGATCCATACATAGCTTTAAGAAGAGGTATGATAAAGCTCGTGTAGCAGGGTGGAATGGACCTAGTAGCTAACACTGAAGACGCGGGGCCAGGAGCTAGGACTCGACCCTGCAACCTCAACTAGGTAAGTACACACACACACACACACACACATACACACACACACACACACACACACACCACACACACACACACACACACACACACACACACACACACACAAACACAAATATCTGCCAGGAGCTAGGACTTGACCCCTGCAACCACAAATAGGCGAGTACAAATAGGTGAGTATACACATACACACACACACACACACACACACACACACACACACACACACACACACACACACACACACACATTATATATATAATATATATATATATATATATATATATATATATATATAATATCAATTCCTAAAAAAAGACAACGAAAAATAGAGAATAAATTGTGTGTAGTGATGAAAGATAGTGAGGTAGTGAGGATTGTGTGGAATAATGAGGATCACTCACCCGTCACTCGCTCCTCACCCTCAACATTCAACTCTCCAGGAATCGATCACTGCATCATAAAATAGCGTAATATTTTATATTTTCTTCCGTAAAGCAATTACCAGGCGTTGTTCCCTTTCACCGTATGTATACTCACCGAGTGGTGTGTATACATCGAGAGATACACTTTTGATGTATGTATACTGAGACAGATATACACCTCTCGGTGTGTATACACTGAGAGTTACAGACACTTGGGTGTACATACACCCAGAACCAGGAGTCAAGAATCAACCCCTGCAACCACAAATATATAAATACATATATGTGAGTACACACCCTGGGTATACATACACTGAGGGACACACACTTGGATATACATACACTGAAAGACACACACTCCTGGGTATACATACTCTGAGGGACACACACCTCTCGGTATAATACACTGAGGGACACATACCTCTGGGTATACATACACTGAGGGACACATACCTCTGGGTATACATACACTAAGAGACACACATCTCTGGATATACATACACTATACAACACCTGTTTGGAACCCACACTTGATCAAGCACGTCAAGAAATTAGAGAAAGTGTAAAGGTTTGCGACAAGGTTAGTTCCAGAGCTAAGGGGAATGTCCTACGAAGAAAGGTTAAGGGAAATCGGCCTGACAACACTGGAGGACAGAAGGGTCTGGGGAGACATGATAACAACATACAAAATACTGCGTAGAATAGACAAGGTGGACAGAGACAAGATGTTACAGAGAGGGAACACAGAAACAATGGGTCACAATTGGAAGTTGAAGACCCATATGAGTCAAAGGGATGTTAGGAAGTATTTCTTCAGTCACAGAGTAGCCAGGAAGTGGAACAGTCTAGCAAGTGAGGTAGTGGAGGCAGGAACCATACATATCTTTAAGATGAGGTATGATAAAGCTCATGGAGCAGAGAGAGAAAGGACCTAGTAGCACTCAGTGAAGAGGGGGGGCCAGGAGCTGAGTCTCGACCCTGCAACCACAATTAGGTGAGTACATACCTCTGGGTATACATACACTGAGACACATACCTCTGGGTATACATACACTGAGAGACACATACCTCTGGATATACATACTCTGAGGGACACACACCTCTGGGTATAATACACTGAGGGACACATACCTCTGGGTATACATACTCTGAGAGACACACACACCTCTGGGTATACATACTCTGAGGGGGATACACCTCTGGGTATGAAGAGGCGGGGCCAGGAGCTGAGTCTCGACCCCTGCAACCACAATTAGGTGAGTACACTGAGGGACACATACCTCTGGGTATACATACTCTGAGGGACACACTCCTCTGGGTATACATACTCTGGGTGACACACACACTCTGGGTATACATACACTGAGAGACACATACCTCTGGGTATACATACTCTGAGGGACACACTCCTCTGGGTATACATACTGAGGGACACACACCTCTGGGTATACATACTCTGAGGGACACACTCCTCTGGGTATACATACTCTGAGGACACACACCTCTGGGTATACATACACTGAGGGACACATACCTCTGGGTATAATACACTGAGGGACACATACCTCTGGGTATAATACACTGAGGGACACATACCTCTGGTTATACATACTCCGAGGGGCACACACCTCTGGGTATACATACACTGAGGGACACACACCTCTGGGTATACATACACTGAGACACATACCTCTGGATATACATACACTGAGACACATACCTCTGGATATACATACACTGAGAGACACATACCTCTGGATATACATACACTGAGAGACACATACCTCTGGATATACATACACTGAGACACATACCTCTGGATATACATACACTGAGAGACACATACCTCTGGATATACATACACTTGAGAGACACATACCTCTGGATATATATACACTGATGGACATACACCTGAGTGTGTTCGTCAGTGGGTTACATGAGCGATCAGTGAACACTTCAGCTGCCACCAACCTTTATGCTGATAACAATACCTTAAATTATGCAAGAGACGTAACTTAGCTCCGTGTAAGAATATAAATATATGATAGCTTGCTTGTCAACATATTTTAAACTAGATACATTTCGGTGTGTGTGGGATCTGAGGAAGGTATCCCAGTATTGCATAACCCCAGGTTCCTCAACCTCAAGCCTCGCGACTGGAATAGTGCAGAGTGCCGCAGAAGTTTGCACTGCAGTTAAATATTTAACGTTGAAGTCTTGAAGGGAATCAGAAGACTCATTCACAAGTCATCATATGGGAACTAATAACCAAATGTATTTAAGAAAAAATGGTAAATTTAGGACATAGCCTAAATCTAATTCAGACTTTTCTAGGATATCGGAAAGATCAATATTTTAAAATATACCGGCACTCAGACGCTGCGATATTAAATAAGTCTGAGTAAAGTTGAAGGTAATTTGATGCACCACTCGGAAGTTATAGCATGAAAGCATTATATAGTAACTACACAGGGTAAAATCAGTCCAACCATTTGTTCAAGGAAGACTGGTTGACCAGGCTCTGATCCACCAGGAGGCCTGGTCACAGACCGGGCCGCGGGGGCGTTGACCCCCGGAACTCTCTCCAGGTAAACTCCAGGTAAAGTAAAAAAACTAATTAAGTAACTTTTATTTATATGTTTAACACATTATTTTTTAATATTATCTCTGAAGCATACATGTTATGGGCACATTATGTAGATCTAACCTAGGATAACAAAAAAAAAAAAGGTCAGACTGATTTATTTCTTATCAGAAGAGACATTCTCCATTTATTTCACAAAGGTGAAGCTTACTTTGAAGAACGCACATCAGCACTAAAAGTTTCAAGCCTACCAGACGATGCATTCTTCAGTTACTGGACAGAATCCAACGAAATTTACACCATCCACAGCCTGTATCCAAAAAAGTTCCATCTATTTCATACGATGCTTAAGCCATTAAAAGCTGCTACCATTTACACTTGAGAAAGCGCTACGCCCGTATGGGTCATAAAGCACCTATGTAATGGGCGACATTCATATTCCATCCAAGGAAGGGAAAGAGTAGCCCAGTTCCTTAGATCAAGAGCCCCTTACCAGCAACAAGACACCTTCCCCCTTCCTTAGAAAGTATAATCTTGTTATATAATGCAAAATGTTATTAAATCACTTCGGAATTAAAAATGGCGCCAACACTCCATATACAATACCAACCTTCATCTAAGATGCATCAGTGTTTAAATTGTGAAGCTATCTCGTGGAAACTAATTTCGGGATTGTTCTATATAAGGTTGAGCAGAGAGCACCTGCACTTGTTAATTTCTCCATCAACCTTCACCTAGGTGACAGCTGACCATGGATTAGAGCAGAAGATGAACAAATCAGACATTCTGAAGTTATGAGCAAAATTCTACCTTAGATGGAATGAGAAAACTAGCTAACCGTGGGACGGCTCTGGCATCAAGTCGTGCAGTAATTAAGGGCTCTTTAATCTCATCAAATTTAAAAACACTATAAAAATGCAAATTTTCAATTCTCTCAGCTTTGTCTTTGCAGTTAGATTTCAAATACAACCAGTTTCCAATAATTCCAAGTTAAAAAGAAAAATATTGTACTGACAAATTTGCCCACACACAAACAAAATTGAATGGACAATATCCTGGTCATAAGATGCATTAGCTATTAAATAAGCCGTAATAAGTGTCATTTTTAAAATCTTCCTATTTTAAGGTTGTTGGTTGAGCGGTAACAGCGTTGGGTCTGCTACATGTAACTTCCGCAGGAACCCATTGCTAATGGAGCCTTTTCAACAATATTTATATAACAAAATTATGTTTATGTATGTGCGCATTGCAAAAAACAGAGCAGCCTAAATTAGCACTTACATTTACTGTGCACAAACATTATACTAAATTCATAAGACCAATATTCCATACTAAACTGAACATGCTTGGTAACTCACAAAAATTTGTCCGAAGACCACTGTAACAAAATAAGTCCATTATAGGATATTGAATCCCAATGACCCATTGGGCTGGTGCAACAGAGTCCCAGTTGGTGTTGGAAGTATTAACGTGATCAATAGTGTCAAGAGTCTGCTGTCAGCTGGATAATAACTCAATGTTTCTTGTGACTCAGAGTAGTCAAGACAGCAAGAAGCACACAGCGTCGTGGGTCCGCTCGGTGCTGGCGTACTGGGCAGACATGGAGGTGTATCTGCTGGGGATGACGCCTGTCATTTTCATGTATAAACTGTTGGGGGGGTTTCCTTTCATTTGGACAAGTGGCGCTGACACTAAAAAGTCGCGAGTGACTGTTGACTCACTGCACAGTATCAAGCGAAACAAGAAGTGGATGGCGTGGTCTATCATTTTTGGGTCTTTAATTGTGTCATATTTTTCCTATGGCGGAATTGGGTTTATAGTAATACTAAACAAGTCTGCTACCACCTTCATGGTCATGCAGAAATTCAATGATTTAGTTAATATGATAACCACCATCTTGCTGAGGATTCACATGCTAGGCCAGGCCCCAGCACTTGCCAAGGCTCTCACCAGGATGCACACCCTGTGTAGGACTCACGGCTTCACAGGTAAACCCTATTATACTGACAAAAACATTTGGTTTGTCATGGGAAATCATCTGTTTGGTTTCATGTGCATCTGCGCCGGAAATATAGCAATGGCAGTAAGAGAAAAACAATTTAGCTTTGTTAGATTTGGAAACATATTCAAGGCATCGGTGAAGCCATTAGTATTCAATGTGTCAATGATGATGTACTCTAGTCTGATTAGACTGCAGGCAACCGCATATAACAATTTTTTTGACATAGTGGGTGATGTTGAGCGTCTCTCCCCACCTCAGGTCAACAGCTGGACCCACTCAGCTCACAGGAACAAAGCCCAACATCACCCGTTACAGAACCCTCTTGCAACTACGACTCGCATCAATTTTGAAAAGGCTAAAGTTTTGCTCGCTGACTTGTACGATTCACAAAATATGATCAAAAACTACTTCCAGTTCTTGGTTGGGACTTTCTCTTCTACAGTCAACCATCAGCTCCATCGTTAGCTGCTTCTCAGTATCTATACAGGAGCGGCAGGAGTTGCCCGACCAAATAGCCTCCTTAGGACTGATCGTCATGACATTCTTCCCACTGTTCTTCCTCACCAACGTTCCTCACGCCCTCACCCTACAGGTCACTACCACACCGTCCTCTGTAATGTCATTCTAGCAGTGTGTACACAGTAAGGTTTTATGATAATTGCCCTCTGGTCTAGGACAGAACAAAACAGTAGACTAGTTACATTCACAGTTTTGAGTTAATTGTACATTTTTTCCAGCTACGGTATTGCGAGGACAAAGATACAAGCTGCAAAACGAGCTTTTATTAAGGTTAGGACTAAAGATGCCACTCGTGGCGAAACGTTGCCTTTAATATATGTCCTCAACTGTACATTTTTTTTTCCATATCATGTGGGTATCATTTACTTTAAGCTTTTAGGAGTGCAATGTTTTAATCTGTGTAGAGCTTTATCAACAGGCGTTAAAGTCTTTTTTGACTGGTGATGTACAAGTGACGCAGTCCTCATGACTCTTCTAGTCGATATATCGCCCAATGATATTTTAAATATCTTTGTTATTAAAATCGTGAACGAGACGAAACACAACTACACTAAACACATGATAACTACACTAAACACAAAGATAACTACACTAAACACAAGATAACTACACTAAACACAAGATAACTACACTAAACACATGATAACTACACTAAACACATAATAACTACACTAAACACATGATAAAATACACACAACACATGATAATTACACTAAACACATGATAAATACACTAAACATATTAACTACACTAATATGTTGCTATGTATGATAATCTATGCAACTGTATTTGTGTATACCTGAATAAACTTACCTACTTAATACATAATAACTACACTAAACACATGATAACTGCACTAAACACAAAATAACTACACTAAACACATGATAACTACACTAAACACATAATAACTGCACTAAACACATAACTACACAAAAAACATAACTACACTAAACACGTGATAACTACACTAAAACTCATGATAACTACACTAAACACATGATAAACACACTAAGCACATGATAACTGCACTAAACACATGATAACTACACTAAACACATGATAACTACACTAAACGCATGATAACTACACTAAACACATGATAGCTACACTAAATACACGATAACTATACAAAACACATAACTACACTAAACATGATAACTATACTAAACACATGATAACTACACTAAACACACGATAACTTCAATAAACAGGATGACCACACTAAACATAACTACACTAAACACATAACTACACTAAAACACATGATAACTACACTAAACACATAAATACACAAAACACATAACTACACTAAACACATAACTACACCAAATACATGATTACACTAAACACATAACTACACTAAACACATGATAAATACACTTAACACATATAAACTACACTAAACACGATAACTATATTAAACACATGATAACTACACTAAACACATGATAACTACACTAAATGCATGATAACTAGACACATGATAACTGCACTAAACACATCATAACTACACTAAACACAATCATAACTACTCTAAACACATCATAACTACACTAAACACATAATTACACTAAAAACATCATGACTACACTTAATGCATAACTACACTAAACACATGATATCTACACTAAACACATGATAACTGCACTAAACATGTGATAACTACACTGAACATTATAATTGCACTAAAAACATGATTACTACACTAAACACATCATGACTACACTTAATACATAATTGCACTAAACACATGATAACCACACTAAACACATAACTACACTAAACATATGACTACACATAATGCATAACTACACTAAACATATATGAAGGCACGAAACACGTGATGACTAAATATATGATGACTAAACACCTGAGATTAGATTTTTTAGATTTTGCCACCGAAGTGGCTAGTTTATTATGCACCCATATCCATCCTGTGGACGTAGCGCAAGAGCTTATGGATACACAAAAGGCCTAGGAACTAGGCCCCAAAGGTTAACAGGAGTACATATGGATTTATATCTACATATATATAGTTCACTCATCTGTTACAAGCAAATTTAGGAAATTTGCTTAGTATATCTGGTATCTTATTTTCATTAATAAGATATCTTGACATGTCACATAGGTTATTATACTGTCTGTCTCTGTATTCCTCAATAAGTGGACAATTAAGCACATAGTGTTCAAAGAGAGTGACCATATGCCTGATCACATAATTTACATTTAGTTTGATCATCATCTGTGTGTCTCCCAAACTGCCAGAAGTACTTGTAACCAAGCCTAAGCCTGGCCACTACATCAGTCAGTCTGTTCACATTGCAAGTTGCTCCATAAACATACTTATCTACGTTCATGTTATCATAGTGGGTTATAGATCTACTCAGGCTTCTAACTGCATTCCTATAACAATCATATTTATTATTTACTTGTACTTCTGCACAAACATTTGGACATCATTCCGCTTGGCACAAATCTCCTTAAGTTATATTCTACATTCTCCTTCTGGGTACTCTTCTTGTATAACATATCAACTTTATCATGAAGGAGTAATCCAATGTGTGATGGGATCCATAGCAATTGTACATTAATTCCTTTGTCCTGATTTTTGAGAGCTGCACTAAACCTTACGACTGAGGACACTGTGTGACGTTGAGTTGTTCTCTACACATATGCTGCTATGTATGATAATTCTATGTAACTGTGTTGTGTATACCTGAATAAATTTACTTACTTACTTAATCCTCACAGAAGGAGAGGTTACGTGTGGCGCTGAAGAGAATACGTCACAAGAGAACCGACCCGGCGCACAAGGAGGAGGTGAGTGTCATCTTGATGTTCCTACAATGTTACCCTTGAGCACACAATACAGAATGGATTTTGAGGCTCGGGGAAAAAGACATCTCACTAATAATTATCTATCACTGAAATAACATTTGCAACGTGCAGTACTGCAGACCCAGGATTCCTGTTTATTTAACTACCTATCTTTACCTAGTGACCCGTAGGAATAAAGGCACTAGGAGTTAGTTTAATATGTTTATTATGCATTCCATACCCATCCTGTGGGCGGTAGTCAAAAGATTACAGAGGTACATAATGGGTCCAGGGACTGGAGCAGAGGGTAATATTAATATTTGATAAGCCCAGCCTTGGGAGAAACGTTGTTTTCAAAGGACCCTCTGCTATTATTATTTTTATCATGGGGACACTAAACCCGTAGGCATTATACAGCGCCTGTGGGAAGATGAAAGACTTTTAGGCTTAATTCAGGGAATTGGAGCACAAATCCAATTCCCTGGATGAAAAGCCCCCTCACCAGCATCAAGGAACCTCCCTTAGGGGTCCTCTGCTACCTGTGTATTTATTCCCATTTATCGGTTCTTGCCTTTTTATACCTAGTGACCCGTGTTGATCTAGTGACCTATGTTGACCTGTCCTTGCAGATCAGAGACCTGTTGGAGCTGCTTGAAGACGACCCTGGTTTCAGCATAGGTGGTTTCTTCATCCTATGTCGAGCAAGAATAGTTGACGTGAGTATCTCTGATTAGGTCATCTGAGGTCACCTGTCATTGACGAGAGCCAGTGGAGTAACTACTCTGCTACATACATTCAAAAGCTCACGTGATGTCGATTCTCAGTGTAAAAGAGAGTCTGAGAACCATTTTAACGTTTGTAGCGAGGTCTCCCGATGTCCAGCAAGAACGGGCAAGTATGACTTACGTTCGAATCCCTGGCAAGAGAGAGAGAGAGAGAAGGGGGGGGGGAGCAGGGAGGGAGGGGTTGGGGCCTTAGGATTTAACCAGAACGTTGGTTCTGTAGTCTGTAGACTAACTCTTCTGTTCAACTTCAGAAGCCTTTGATGGTAAGGCGCAATTATATTTGTGTAATATTTTCATTTTCATTAAGTTTGATTAATTTATCTAACCTAACTTATAACAACGAAGGTATGCCAGTGGAAGGGTCATTGATTCACAGCTGAAACCTCCTTGTTAAGTGACTAGGAAGTCGAGACTGGATAAATCTCCTTACGTCTGCAGTAAATAGGTACCTGGGTGCTAGCCGGCTACTGTGGATGACATCCTCTGGGAAAACGGTTCCACGGGTTTCTTAAAAAAACTGGGTTCCGGACTCGTAGAAGCCAGGAGTGGAAGAATATCTTAAATAACACTGAGCTGTAGAATGATGGTATAACCTATGATATTCTCAGAACTCTAAGGCACGTGCCTGATAACCCTTTGTTGGCACTGTATAATCTCAGTTACATTGAGGGCGTTCTTCCTACTTCCTGGACCAATAGTCTCATTGTGCCTATCCCTAAGCCCCAACAGCCTGATACATTTAGGCCGATCTCCTTAACTAGTTGTCTTTGTAAAACTTTTGAAAGAATGATGCTTAACAGACTGTACTACAGAATCAGACACCAACTTTCCCCCTACCTCTATGGGTTCATGAAAGGTAAAGTGTGCAGAACTGTATTTCCACCTTCTCACTGCACACACCTCTACTAGTTTTACCACTTTTCTTGATCTAAAATCTGCATTTGATATTGCGAACAGAACCGTTATTACTACATGAACTAGCCAAATGAATATTGGTGGTAGCTTACTCTGCTGGATAATAGGATACCTGTCAAAACAGAGTATCCTCTGTCCTTTACCAAGGCTTCAGAAGTGATTCTAAAAGAAATGTCCTTAGGTACACCGCAGGAGGAGTTTCTTAGTCCCATGCTATTTAATATTCTGATTAATGCTCTCCTAAATGCTCTACCTGCCTCACCTAAACATATAGCTATAAGCTATGCTGATGATATCATGATCCATACAACAGGGCATAAGAAGATGAATACCATTCTTAATGAAGTTCAAGCAATTTGTAATCGACTAGGCCTCATAATATCTTCCTCTAAAACTAAGATATTAACAAGCAAACGACATCCCCCACCCATCTATTTGCAGGGTGAAATCATTAGCTACGTTAAAACTTACAGATATCTTGGTGTAGATGTACCCTTTAACAAATCCACTATACCACAACTAAACAAGAAATGTAAAGCTAGGCTAAATGCTCTCAAAGCTGTTGCTGGCTACAATCCCAACTATGGTGCAAATGTGAGAATCGTGAGAATGATGTACATAGCCTATGTTAGGTCCTTAATTGATTATGCTGCTTCCCATGTTGATATTAGCTAGAGAAAGTTCTCTCCGACCCTTGGAGTTAATGCAAAATGAAGCTCTCAGGATTATTCTTGCTGTCCCAGATCTACAAAAGTTCTTAACATGAGGAAGGAGCTTGGTATTTCTAGTATCAGTGATAGGATTGTTGAAATTAACACTGTACTCGGTATTAGAATGTTGAGAAACGAACCAGACACTGTCACAGTGAATCTTACCAAGTGTCTAGAGGTAAAATACACACAGATCTAAATGGATTGTGAAAACGTTGCAATTGCATTAAGTTTTATAACCTGCATGAACTGTATCACTGTAGGCAACAAGAGCATTTCACCCCTCCATGGAAGATGTGTTCATTTAATATCACATACCTACAAGTCCCTCCCAATAAGCTCATTGCTAGTAATCCCTTCCTTAAATCTCTTGTTAGAGCAACTGCTCAAGAAGAAATTTTTCGCCTAGCTGGTAGTAACAAGTTATCACAAGTTATATACACTGATGGATCTAAACAGGAGTCTTCTGGCAGGGCTGCATCTGCTCTTGTTGCCACTTCCCTAGTTAAGAACGATAATAAATTGTTGAGTTAGGCATAAGAATTAAACTGGGCGTCTACACTGCAAACTGAATTGTTTGCAATCCTAATGGCGCTAAAGCTAACCTATGACACTGAGCTTGACTCTATCATCATTACTGATTCTTTGTCATCATTGAAGGCTCTTGACTCATGTAATGACTCCAACAACATGCTCATTGGGGAAGCCAGGTATAGATACTCAAAAATTAGGGGCAAAGGAATTAATGTACAATTGCTATGGATCCCATCACACATTGGATTACTCCTTCATGATAAAGTTGATATGGGTTTGCCAAGAAGAGTATCGAGAAGGAGAATGTAGAATATAACTTTGGTATAACTGTGTCTAGCATTAGGAATAATATTAGGAGAGAAGTAAATAATGAAAATGATTGTTATAGGAATGCAGTTAGAAGCCTGAGTAGATCTATAACCCACTATGATAACATGAACGTAGATAAGTATGTTTATGGAGCAACTTGCAATGTGAACAGACTGACTGATGTTGTAGTGGCCAGGCTTAGGCTTGGTTACAAGTACTTCTGGCAGTTTGGGAGACACACAGATGATGATCAAACTAAATGTAAATTATGTGATCAGGCATATGGTCACTCTCTTGAACACTATGTGCTTAATTGTCCACTTATTGAGGAATACAGAGACAGACAGTATAATAACCTATGTGACATGTCAAGATATCTTATTAATGAAAATAAGATACCAGATATACTAAGCAAATTTCCTAAATTTGCTTGTAACAGATAAGTGAACTATAGATATGTAGATATAAATCCATATGTATTCCTGTTAACCCTTTGGGGCCTAGTTCCTAGGCCTTTTGTGTATCCATATGCTCTCGCGCTACCGTCCACAGGATGGATATGGGGTGCACAATAAACTAGCCACTTCGGTGGCAAAATCTAAATCTGTGAGAAAGAGGATAACAGCCTGTAAATTCAATAGTGTAAAAAACATAGCTAAAGTCCATATAGCCAGAAATGAATTCTATAGCAGGAAGACAATGTATACAGTGATAAGCGTTACATTTATTGTGTTATATTACAGATCCTGAGCTTCGTGACTACTTACGTAATCATCCTGATGCAGTTCCGAATCACAGAAACTGAGGACAACAAATTTTCCTGCCACAGCAACAAAGTTAACGCCACATCATCACTCTCGGATTAAGTATCTTGACTGAAATATTATGACGTTATATTTAAGCAGGTGAGGGGCCATTCATATAGGTGAACTAGGTAGTTAGTAAGGACGCCAAATTAATTGGGATGCAAATTCGATGGAAAATCAAGTTCAAAAAAACAAAGTTTGGGCTTTGGGGGGG